CAAACACTTCTAAACAATAGTCTGGAAAAAGAAAATGAAGACCACAACTCCATAAGGGCAACAGAGCAAATATACCATGAAAGACAAGAAATTAAAGAGAGAGAAAGGGAAAAGTAAAAAATAAAAGAAACAACAAAAGGAAAATAACATGACAATGAAAAGGCAATATGTAACAATAATAATCATCAATGTTAATGGCCTCGACTGACCAATCAAAAGAAACAGGCTGGCAGAATGGATTAAGAAGCAAAATCCAACAATATGCTGTATACAAGAAACCCACTTAATCCATAAAGAAATTCAGACTGAGAGTAAAAGGATGGAAAACAGTTCTCCATGCAACAGGATCCCAGAAAAAAGCAAGGGTAGCTATCTTATTTGCAAACGGAATAGATTTCAAACCAAAACTAAGAGACAAGGCCACTATGTCCTTGTAAAGGGAACAAGAGGAAGAAATGACAATCATAAATATATATGCACCAAATATTAATTTCTCCAACTATACAAAACAAATATTAATGGATATTAAAAACGAAATAAACACTACTAATACAATTGCCGTGGGGGACCTAAATACCCCACTATCACAAATAGACAGATCATATAGACAAAAAATCAACAATGCAATGACAGAACTGAACTAAATCTTAGAACAAATGGACTTAGTAGATGTCTACAGAGTGTTCCACCCCACAAAATCAGAACATTCTTTTCAGCTGCATACAAGTCATTCTCCAAAACAGACCACATGCTAGCTCATAAACAACAGGTCTAAATAAATACAAAGGAATTGAAGTTACCCCCTGTATTATCAGACCATAGTGCAATTAAGCTGGAGATCAATAGCCTAAGAAACCACAAGAACTTCCCAAACACATAGAAATTAAATAACACCCTGCCCGAACGACAATTGGAAATTGTCAGAGGAAATTAAAGAAGAAATGAGACAGTTTCTACAATTAAATGATAATGCCAATACAGGAATCTATGGCACACAATGAAATCAGTTCTATGTGGAAAATTCATAGCAGTAAATGTCCACAATAGGAAAACAGAGTGAACTCAAATAAACAACCTAATGCTTAAGCTTCTAGAAAAAGAGCAAAAACACCCCAAAGCTTGTACAACAGAGGAAATTATAAAGATCAGAGCAGAAATCAATGCAATGGAGACTAAGAGAACGATACAAAACATCAATAAATCAATAAACTGGTTTTTTGAAAGAATAAAATTGATAAACCCTTAGCCAACCTTATCAAAAAAAGGAAAGAAAAGGCTCAGATCCATACAATCAGGAATGAAAAAGGTGAAGTCACAACAGATCCCGCAGAAACCCAGAGGATCATCAGTACCTGCTTCGAAAACCTGTACTCTAATAAAATGGAAAACACAGAAGAAATGGACAAATTTCTTGATACTTATGAATTAACAAAGTTGAACAAAGATATAAAAATTCTAAACACCCCAAATACAATCAGTGAAATTGCAAACGTAATTAAAAATGTACCAACTAAGAAAAACCCAGGACCTGATGGCTTCACTGCTGAATTCTATAAGACATTTAGAGGAGAACTACTGCCACTACTCTAAACTTTTCAATGAATTGAAAGAGAAGCAATACTTCCAAATTCATTCCTGGAAGCAAGTATCACTTTGATTCCAAAACCAACCAAAAAAGAGAGCTACAGGCCAATCTCCTTAATGAACATAGATACAAAAATCCTTAATAAGATACTAGCAAACAGAATACAGAGGGTCATCAAGAAGATCATACACCCTGACCAAGTCAGATTTATCCCAGGGATGCAAGGATGGTTCAACATACATAAATCAATAAATGGAATACACCATATTAACAGAGTCAAGGACAAAAACCATATGATTATCTCAATAGATGCAGAAAAAGAATTTGACAAAATTCAACACTCATTCATGATAAAAACCCTACAGGAAATTGGAGTAGATGGTTTTTTATCTCAACTTGATAAAGGCTATCTATGAAAAACCAACAGCCAACATCATATGAAATGGCCCAAAAGTGAAAACCTTCACACTAAAATCAGGAACAAGACAAGGATGTCCACTATCATCCCTCCTGTTCAATATAGCTCTTGAAACATTAGCCACAACAATTAAGAGAAAGAAATAAAAGGAATAAAGATAGGAAAGGAAGAAGTTAAACTGTCATTATTTGCTGATGATATGATACTCTACATAGAAGACATAAAAAAAACTCTGCCAAAAGACTGCTAGACCAAATTGACAGATTCAGTAAAGAAGCTGGATACAAGGTCAACATTCAAAAATCAATAGCCTTCCTGTACACAAATAACAGACTCACTGAGAGAGAAATTAGGGAAACAATTCCTTTCACAATAATATCCAAAAACTGAAAAATCTAGGAATGAATGAAATGAAGGAGACAAAAGAAGAATCAACATAGTGAAAATGGCGATACTTCCATACAGATTCAGTGTAATCCCAATTGAAATACCAACAGTATATTTCACAGAACTTGAGAAAACAATCCAAAAATTCATTTCAAACCAGAAGAGACCTAGAATAGCAAAAACCATTCTAGGCAACAGAGACATGGCAGAGGGTATTACAATTCCCAACTTGAAACTATACTACAAAGCCACTGTGATAAAAACAGCATGGTACTGGCAAAGAAAAAGACGCAAGGAACAATGGGGTAGATTAGAAGATGCAGAAACAACACCAGACATACTCAGCTACCTCATCCTTGACAAAGGAGCCAACATCCTCACTGGAGGAAAGATAACCTCTTTAATAAATGATGTTGGAAAAACTGACTTTCAACATGCCAAAGATTAAAACTAAATCCCTATCTTTCACCATGCACTAAACCAAAATCCAAGTAGATTAAAGATCTAAATATCAAAATAGAAACACTGAACTTACTGGAAAATACATTAAGTAAAGCTCTTGAAGACATTGGCATAGAAGAAGACTTTATGAACGAATCCTCAGCAGCTTGCAAACTTGCACAAAGACTCAAAAACTGGGATCTCATTGTATAAGTTTTTCAGTGCAAGAAAAATCACCAACAGAGCTAAGAGACAACCTACAATGTAGGAAAAATTTTTTACCAGCTACTTCTCAGACAAAGGGCTACTATCTAGAATATATATGTAACTCAAGAAATCAGACCCCCCAAATACAAAGACCCAATTCAAAAATGGGCATCTGAGATGAACAGATGCTTCTCAGACCAAGAAGTAAAACCAGCAAATAAATACATGAAAAAATGTTCAACATCACTGGTCATTCAAGAGATGCAGATGAAAGCAACACTGAGATTCCACCTCACCCCACAAAGAATGGCTGCTATCAAGAAATCAACCAATAACAAATGCTGGCAGGTTTGTGGGAGAAAGGAACCCTTTTCCATTGCTGGTGCGAGTACAGACTGGTACAACCACTGTAGAAATCAATATGGAGATACCTCAAAAACTAGGATTAAAGATTCCATTTGACCCAGCTATCCCTCTGCTGGGTAACCTTCCAAAAGAATTAAAAGAATCATACCACAGTGATATATCCACACCCATGTTTATAGTGGCACAGTTTGTAATAGCTAAAACTTGGCAACAGCCCAATTGCTCATCAGTTGGAGACTGGATAAAGAAGCTGTGGTTTTACTATAAAATGGAGTACTACTCAGCCATAAATAATGAGAAACTAGAAACATTTATAGCTAAATGGATGCACATTGAGGCCATACTCTTAAGTGAAATAAATAGGACACACTTGAGTAAATACTGAATAGTTTCTCTGGTGTGAAAAATTACAAGTATAAATAAGGTTCAAATGGTATAGTTTGGAGCGTAAAGTAGGAAGAAAATGGCTAAAGGGGAAGTGGGAAGGGGAGGGGAAAGGAAATAAGAGAAAAGAAAAAGTGAAGTAATGGAAACAAAATCTTTGTAAATAGGGAAGGGTGAAGGACGTGAGGGGAGGGCAGGGGTATGGGGAAAGAACAAGAACAAAGATACATCATGTAAAGGTACAAGATCCAAATGACAAATTTAACTGTGTTGTTTGCTTTAAATATACCAATAAACTTAATGAAAAAAATCTCAATGAGAAACCACTTCACAATCACTAAGATGGCTATAATTTAAAAAGCAAGCAAGTATAGGCAAGGACACATAGGAATTGCTAGCACGAACATAAAAAACATAGCTGCTTTAGAAAATGACCTGGCATTTCCTAAAATGGTAAACAGAGGTGAGGTATGACCTACGGATTCATTTCCAATTACAGTACAGACTTCCAAAAAACTGAAAACAGATGCTCACACAAAAACTTGTATCATTGCTCACAGCAGCATTATTCATAACTAAAACATGGAAGTAACCTGAATTCTATCAATTGATGAATGTAATGATAAACTCATACAATGGAGTATTAGTCATAAAAAGGAATGAAGTACTGATACTTGCTACAATACAGATAAACCTTGAAAACATGCTTAGGGAAAGAAGCTATACATAAAAGACCACACACTGTATGAATCCATTTATGTGAAATTCCGGAATAGCAAAATCCATAGATACAGAAAACAGAGTAGTTGTACCAGGGGCTGGTAAAAAGTAGACTAGGGAGTGACAACTAAGGGTTATAGGATTTCTTTTTGAGGTGATGAAGACAGATATTCCAAAATTTAGTAGTGGTTATGGTTATACAAAAAAAAAAAATCATACAATTAAAAAGTGATTTTTATGGTATATGAATTATTTCCCTATTAAAAAATATTAGTTTTAAAATTATAATTACATGGTACTTCAATAAATGCTATATAACATTTTATTTTCCCTAACCTAATAAAAATATGCACTTCCTCCAAAAAGACGTACACTAGCATAATTACTGTGCTAGAATGTTAACAGGAAATCATGAGTACAACTAGCATCAACTGCAAACTAAAAATTATTAAAAGTCATTTTTTAAGATTGCCTGTTTCTCATGAATCTTACCAATTTTCAAATCATCAGTCAAACTTTCTTTAGTAAGATTCAATAGTTCTTTTCCATCAATGTTATTCATCTTGAAAATACCAATGAGGTCTTTTAAACCTTGTGCACAAAGCCATAGTGAAACATCTTCCTCTGACCAATCTTCAGGAAACTGTTTTAGCTGATCTTCCATGCTCCTTGCTTAAAAACAAAAGAGGCAAGAAACATACAATCAAAGTATTTCTTTTATACACAATGCCACTTTGAAGTAAAAAGTAAATGAAAATTTCCTTAAATTTGTGTTTTGCAACTTTACCTAGGAATTCCAAAAAAATAAATATTGCCATGTATGAAGTATTATTCAATACCACGTTAAATACTACTCTTTTGGAACTACTTTTTCATTCTAGAAAAACAATATTTATTATCTAAAACTCATACCAGTAAAGATACTCAATCATTTGCTCTATCATCTCTATACGAGCACCATTTAGTTAATTACAATAGTGATAAAAATAAAACTTCTAAATTATGTGCCAATATTGCTTGATGTAATTAAAAAGAAAGTTAACAAAATACATCTATAATTTCTCTTTTATCCTCAAGCTATATTTATCTGAAAAATTATTTTGGAGTATAAATAAATTACAAAACCACTGGAAGTATGATATATATAAATGTGCACTCAAAAGCATTAATCAACATTTTTAACATTGACTTCTATAAAATTATTTTTTAGATTATATTAAATTTGAATGTGTATTTTATATTTGGAAAAGCAATATGAGTAACTTGATTTATTTAATTTCATGCTGGCGTATAAGCTCAGTGGTAGAGCTAGCATGTGCTAGGCCCCCAGTTTGATTTCCAAGCCAACAACATAGAAAAAAAAGTTACTAAATTTCTGAATTTATTCATTAGTAGAGTTAAAGATGATGCCCTTACTAACCTTGGCAAAGTGTTTCCGGGTCAAATTGCCAGATGTTTACTGTTTTGTCCATTGAACCAGTAGCGAGTAAGAGAGTATTTGGTGCAAAGGCACATGTTGTGACATACCTAGATAATAAAAACAACTATTACATATCTTCTAACTTTTAAATTTTATTAATAAAAAGAGATTAAATTCAGACCTGGTATGCTGTGTCAATGTGTGAAGTACATTCTGTGAATTCTAAGGAAAAAAACAAACAAAAATAGGTTTATATTTACTTGGGCAAGAGTAAAATTATTGATAAAGATTAACTTTAATAATGAATGGTTTATATGCTATGTGTATTCTACTATTATCAGTAACTAACATTAAGTTGACAGTTCACTCAGTGAATAACAGAATGGCACCTCTAACTAATACTTATTTCACTCTTTCTCAAATATTAGGATTGTTGTCTACAGGCCAGCTTCTTAGCAAATTCTAGTATAGCTGACCCTTGGCATTTGCTGATTTGTTTGAACTTACTAATAGTAACCAAAATGTCTATTACAAGATTACGGGAAATAATTATATTTGTGTTATGGCATTTGACTTGTACACATTTAGAGAGCAGAAATTAGTCATTTATATCTGAGTACAGTACACTTTGGCAACCAGCCAACCTTCTGCATGTATTTGTGACATCCATATTTTACAGAGAAAAACTAATGTTACTTTTGTGAATGCAGAAAACTCATAAAAAGTTGATGGAAAATACTAAGGATCTAGTTTGAGTATTCATTCCCATTTCCTGCCAGAACTTTCAATGGCTCAATTTCTGTGTGATGGACTTGATTACTTGCTGGACCCACTAGACTTTGATGATTTATATCTCCATTGATTTGATAATAGAGCTATTGTCTGAACAACATTGTTATAAGGCTCCACTCTACTGACTTCTTTTGAAGACTGTTTTCATCAACTACATCTTTGTCATACATCAAACATTCATTTTACTTCTTACACAACTCAGTCTTTACCAAAGAGCAGATAATCTGCCAAAACTTTCATTTTCCCAAATCTGCAATAACCTATTCTATCTCACGCTAGTCTCTAAATCCACCTACAGTAGCATTTTTTATAATGGTAGGCCACTTTTCATCTCTACTTTCCAAAACCCCTTGGGTAGCCAGCCATTCATTCTTTGCTGTAATGATACCTGGTGTAAAAGTTAAATATTGATCAAAATTGGATAATGGAGCTCTTAATTTGTCCATCTTAAAAGCATTATTGAAATATTTAACAGCTTGTCCCAGAACCAATACCTTATTTGCACAGCAGTTTAACATTTGTGAGAATGTGTATTTTATATTTTGGAGTATACTAAGTAGAAAAACATACACTATTTCTATCATGTGTGAACTTGAAGTTCAGTTGTCTAATAAACATAATTTAGGTCACACACAAGATTTTGAAATACTTACTGTATCATATATTATGACAGACTTATCCACTGATCTTTAAAAGAAAAAAAGAAATTATGGATGAAAAGTTCTATAACACAAAGTATATTTACATAATTAGTGTTTCTAAATCATTTTAGTAACTTTTTTAAAAGGCTGAAATGGTGACATACAGGTATTTAAAATTCAATCTCTTCTGTTTATTTAAAACTACATGGGAAATATAAAATTTATCAGAAATTATCCTTATTAACCAACAGCATACGCTTATAATGGATATAGAAAAAAACACTTGTGACACACACACACACACACACACACACATGACAGAATTCCCTATCAAATTAGTAACTCAGTAGAAAGTCATTACAAGGGAAGCATATGTTACTGAATTGTTTCAAACAGCATTGTTCTTTGTCATTGGTGGCTATGCCTTAATTCCTAATCAATGTACTTGTGTTTTGTTTGTGATTTATTTTTGAAAATTATAAGTGTAAACTTTATGTTGATTCCATGGTTTCTCTTAATGCTTTAAAAATTTAAAGCAACCATTCCGGATTATTCTTAGTGGGAAAAAGATCATCACACTATAAAGAAAAGTATAATACTATAACAAAGTAAACAGTTTAAAACAACAGATAAAATGTTTCCATCTAGTATTTATTTCCCACTTGGAAGTAGTCTTTATGCCACTATGGTATATGCCGTAAAGTGAGAAAATATATCAGCAAGACAAGCATTAATAATTAGTATATTAGTATTTGTACTTATTATTGGTGGAAAATAGTTGATTGTGTGACAAAGGTCAGACCTATAAGAAAGCTTCAAATTTCCTTGTTCAGGAGGTCAGTGTTGGGAGATTTACATCAGAACCTTATGTAAAAATTCAAATTAGGAATTATAATTAGAAATTCAAATCTAAACTAAAATACAAGATAGGAATAATAAAATATATTCCGGATGTAAAAAAACCATCCCAAACCAAGATAAAAACTAACAGGAAATTCCACCTCTACTACTACCAAATGCAACTAAAACTAACTCCCTGATGTATCCCTCGAGATGAGCACTGCATTAGCAAGACAGAAAAGTATGATACTGTAGAAGGTATAAAGTGAAAAAAAAATTAGGCTTGGGAAAGATGATCATAAGCCTTTGTTTGCTAGTCATTTCTGTGTCAGAGACACATTTCATTAAAAGCATTTCAGATTCATAACAACAAAACTGCATTATCTACGTCCAAAATAAATAATACATTAGCAAGTGTCTTGTTGAAGGGGGAACTTTCCTACTCTTCTGCAGTAAGGTCTGGGCCTCTCCTCCCTCTACTACTTTAGCCAAAAAAGAAAGCCAGATGACTGGTGATATTGAGGAATGACACTGGACAATATGACTCAAGTCCTTCTGTATTGTCCTTTTTTTCTGATCTCCTCTTGCAGAAGTCTGTAATGGATCACTCTGCCAGACAGGTGAGCAAAGCAAATGCAGATCGAAACTCATGTTAGCTACTCTATCAGTTCCATTTCTTTCTCATTGGTTTTTAACTCAAAAGAAGAGAAATGGGTTTTGAACTTTCAACAATTGCGGGCATTAAAAAAACACTTTCCCAGGAATCCTAACTACTGAGACTTGACCAGCCTTTTCTTTTAGGGTTTTTGTTTTTTTGTTTTTTTTTTATTGTTGTTGTTACCACGGATCAAACTCGGGACCTTGCACTTTTGAGGCAGGCATGGAACCACTGAGGTAAATCCCTGGCCCAAGCCTTTTCTTACACTAGGAAGGCTGACTTCTGTTTGAATAGAGGTTTGTATACGTGCTACTCATTACTTTTGACTGGATCAACAAATGTAGGTTGGAACAAAAGACAACCTCTATTAAGGGGCTAAATGAAAGTTATTAGAGAAGAGATGTGGAGAAAGATGAAGGGAAAAATTTCTTCCATATTTTGCCGCGACATGTGATGCCATCATACCTGAGGGATAAACACAATGTGGGGAGCAGATATGCAAATCCAAGTGTCTTCTGCTAAGACAGACACTGAAAAGCTCTTCAAATCCAAGTCTTCTCACTATTTTTAATTTTCCCCTTAAAATATGCAATATTTGCAGTATAAGCAGTAAGTTCATTTCTGTAGTCCCTCACTATCTATGGGAGATTGGTTCTAGGACAGCCCTCTCCACTGCAGATACCAAAGGCACTGATGCTCAAGCCTCTTATATAAAATGGTGGAATATTTGCATACAACCTATGTGTTTCCTCTAAAATACTTTACATCATTATTGTATTACTTATAATACCTAATACAGTGCAAATAATTGTTAAATTATGTTGTTTAGGAAAAAGGAAAAAGTTTGTACATGTTCAGTCTAACTTTTCCCCAATATCTTTCATTTTGTAGGTGACTGAATGCACAGATGCAGAACCTATGGACAAAAAGCTATTGTTCCTTTAAAAGGAATCTAAAATATTACAGGATTTTCTGTCTTTATTTACTAATACTGGTTGAATATCCTTCATCTGAAATGCTTGGAACTAAAAGTATTTCAGGCTTCAGAGTTTTTTTCAGAAGTGTTGGGAATATTTGCATACGCTTTCTTGGCTGAGCATCTCTATTCCAAAAAGCCTGAAATCCAAAATGTTCTAATATGTAAAACTTTCCAACTTAGCACCTGGATTTCAGAGTTTTAGATTAGGAATATCTCCCATATAAGCAAAAGTTGTTTGGGCTCTTCAATAACTTTTAATAGTGTTAAGAAATCTTAAACCAAAAGTATGAGAACAACTGATGCAATTCTTGACTTTAACATCAGTCTCCTATATGTAGGCCTAGCCAACTGAAATGAAAGTTTCAGTAGTTCTCCTAAATTTACTACACAAAGCTGGAACAAGTTATAACAACATCCAGGTCCTCCGGCATCTGTATAAACTCTTTTTTCAGGCTCATTCCCTGTATTCCTTTTTGATGTTTGTTATACATGCTATGGCCTGGTTGTGGTTTGTCCACAAGGCTCACATGGTGGAGTCCTCGGTCCTCAGTGTGGTGATGTGAGAGGTGGCAGGACCTCTATCATGTGAGCCTAGTGGGAGAAGCTTAGGTCACTGGCTGCCCTACCCTTAGAAGGAACTAAGGTAGTTCTTCTGCCCTGAGTTAGTTCTTATGAGAGCAAATTTTTATAAAAGCTAGCCTGACCCATGAATCTAGCTTCTGCCCTCAAGATGTGATCTTCTGCTCCACAAGCATTCCTACCATGTGATACCACCACGCTCTTGAACCTCTAGAACTCTGAACTAACAAACCTCTTTTCCTTGGAAAGTTATCCAGACTTAATTATTTCATTATAGTAATGAAAAACAGGCTAACACATTTTAATCTATTGAAGAATTGCCTGCCTCCTGGAATGCCCTTTCTATCCGCCTGCCCTGTCTTATCTGCGTATCTAACTCTATACTGCCTTTTGCATGACCACACTTATCAATGCCATATACCTTTCTTAGTACACCTTCTGACCTATAATCCCTTTTTATTCTCCATTTTTCTATTAGTTGTGATATTCATATACCACTCTTATCTTACTGTTTTACCTAGTAATCCTCTTTTCACATATGTCCATTCCATTGTACCAGTAAGTTTCAGTCACAGATAGAATCTTTCTCTCATTAACAAATTAATTTGTTCTTATCTACCCTCAGACCAAGTATGGTTTAAACATGTATGCTATTTCTAAAAAACTGAATGTTATGTTTTACCAAGTTAGATTTACAATTCATTTACTTGCCTGTACCTTTATTCCAATAAATAAAAACTAACCAGAAAACATCTGAATGTGACTGACAGCAACATCACAGACCTTAAAGTATTTAATAACTTAAACTTCCATTTATCCATAATGAATGGGAAAGATCATTCCAGTCAATCTCATGTCAGTTAACCAAAATCATGTATACAAACTGACAATGCTATAAAATGAAAACATAACATTGTTAAGTATCACTTAACAAGTCTTCCATGCTTCAGAAAGTCAGGAAGAGAACATTCTAGAGTAATATCATTAAATGTAGCTCTGACAAAGCACAGTCACTACTATGTATCATAAAGCAGGTATAAGATATTTTACATTCATAGAGGGATGATACAGTACTGTCCTACATCAATAATACTAGATTCAGTTTTGGTTTGAAATTTACTTTGTCTGCAAATAAGATTACCACCCCTGTTTTTTTCTGGGGTCCTGTCACATGGAAAATTGTTTTCTATCTTTTCACTTTCAGGCTATGGGCTTCTTTTTCCACTAGGTGTGTTTCTTGTATACAACATATTATTGGATTTTGCTTCTTATTCCATTTTGCCAGTTTATTTCTTTTGATTGGTGAGTTGAGGCCATTGACATTGCTGGTTATAACTGATATGTACTGACTTATCATTGACATGTTATTGGCCTTTTGTTGACTCTTTTTACTTTTTCACCTTCTCCTTTTAGTTTCTTGCCTTGCCTATTTGATTTGCTCTGTTGGGCCTCATGGTGTTGTTGCCTTCATTGTCTTTTTCTAGGATCTTGTTTAGAATTGCTTGTAGTGCTGGTTTGGTATTCATGTAGTTTCTCAGGTGTTCTTTGTCGTGGAAGTGTCTTATTTCCCCCTCCATTTTGAAAGAGAGTTTTGCTGGATACATCAGTCTAGGTTGGAGGTTGTTCTCTTTTAGTACTTGAAATATCTCATTCCAGGCTCTCCTTGCCCCAAGGGTTTGTGTTGAAAAGTCTGCTGTGATTCTGATGGGCTTTCCTTTGTATGTGATTTGTTTCTTTTCTCTTACTGCTTGTAGTATTTTGTTCTTCTGTTGG